TGAAAGATGATGTAATTTAATTATTGCCAAGCTCTTGTTCCTTGTATGACTTGATAGTTTTCTTTTCTGTATATAAACTGCTGATTTACAGAAGTAAAATTGCAGCAGATTCAAACCACTTCTGAGTGTGTTGTCTGTCTGTCAGTCGCTGAATCCTTGCCTTCCTGACTACCCAAGCCCTGATTCTCCTACGGTTGTGGTACCTCCGATGGGCCAGTCTGTGGCACTAACCAATCATTAGCTCTCTGTTGACCTCCTCCTTTAACCACTCCCTTTTCAGATTGTAAAAGAAAGCCTGATGGTCACTGCCACGAAAAATTCTTACCTGCCTTTATGACCTTACAGGAATTCAGGCTTGGTGACCTGGCTGGAGGGGGAGGTTTGCAACTGCTTGGCTATATAATTGTAAAGCTAGAGACTGGTAGAGGAATAAAGAAAATGGACTAACGAGCTTTGTGTGCACAGATTGATTTGCCAACCTTAAGAATAGATTCTCAGCTGGTTGACAGATTCTCCCCTGGACCCTGCAAAAAAAGACTATTAGGGGCTGGACGCCAGTAGTCTATAATAGCCTCCATTTTTGACAAACTAATACCTTCTACCAATCCACAAGTGAAGAGTATTATCAGATGTCACTTGAAACCCACAGCAGAGTTTTCCTAGCTTTGTTGTCACCTGTCTACTTGGTGGCCCCTACCATTATATTTGGCAAAAATGCTGATTTATAACTTTCTTTTGTTCTACAGAAAACTAATATACCTCTCTCTGTTCATGGTGCTATTCAGGGCAACCTGAATCCATGTTCCTGGTCCACAGACACTCACTCATATTTTGGCTTAGAATAAACTCTTATTTACTTTGAGGCTGAGCACTCTGTTCTGCATAACATAGTCTTTTACTCTTGAGAGGGGGCATCTCATAAGGTCTACAAACTGAGTAACTGCTACAGAAAAAACATTCTAAAACCTTTGTATGACTGTCATGAATGATCACTGTGGGCACGGCATGGGGAAGGCTTCAGGAATGGACATGTTTCATGAGATCCAATTAGGAAATGGGAGATTGGACCATGCCAGAAAAAAGCAGATAATCCTGTTGGGATTCTGAGTTTCTGTAAGAAATGCTTTGGGGGTCATTCTACCAGACCCTAAGGGAGGATTCTAGGTTGAAAAGGACTCCACTTCCAGGGTGACGGTATCTAGCGAGATCACAAGGCTTCTCTAAAGCTAGATCCAGAAGTCTGTGTCCACAATGTGTTTGAGGGGGAGGTGGTCAGGGGTTTTATGGTTGGGGATGTTTTGCTTTTGGATTCTTGAGATTTGTAGTGCTTCAAAGGAATTCCTCAGAGGAACCTGTTTTCCAAATGTCACAAGGAGCTCAACTTATCAAACATTACAGTTATGATGCTGTAAACTATCTTCAAATTCCTTTTCTAGAATGAGGAGCCAAAGCAGCGACTCCGAGGCATCTACACCAGTTTCCAATCCTGATTCTATGACCATGGGCAAATTACTTAGTTTCACTCATTTCTGATAGCTTGTCTGTAAAGTGGAGGTTTTGAAAGGATCTTATGATTTATCCCAGGGATTCAGAAGGTGGGCTCCAGTAGGCACTATGTCTCTCTCTCTGAGAACAAGAAGGGTAACATACAAGTTCAAGACAGTCTCATGACATGGCTGCAGAACTAGGATTCAGGCTCAAGTCTTCCCAAGTGACACAAGTTGCTATCTAGAGAGGTGGAACAGATGGCAAGAACGGTCTGACCACAGTGGATCTAAGGGCTCCTTAGGGAAGATGAACAGCAACTTTCTCTTCACTTATAGCCTGTCATCTTTCCCCTTGCTGGACTTACTAAATGGCCCACAGGCCTAGTGCATATTCACTAATCAGTAATTTTCATCTACCCTAGATGTACAAAAAGAAAAAGGCAAAGCATGGTTTCCAGGAAACTACTGCTTCAAAGTGAAAATAGTGACCTTGAAAGTATGATCAGATAAATCATTTTAAGCTCTTCTTAATTTGATTAAGCCAGTATGGATCTATCAGCAAGTAAAAAGGTTTGTATTTTACATTTTTGTTTTGTTTTATTTATGTGTGGTTAACATGATGAAACTCTCCTTTGCCAGAGGTAATTTCCAATATTACAAAGAGGGAACAACTTGCTCTAAGAACTCCAACTTTTCAGACCACCTTACTCTATCTCTTGGAGTATGTAAGGGACTTAGAAATAGTTTCAAATCATCTGCATTTCTTGTCTCATAAGTAAAGGTGTAAAGTTTCATTTTTTTATGTTTCCTTAAAACCTTGGACTTTCTCAATTTATAGCTTCATGATCATGTGAAATCAACCTGAGTTTAATGGCAACCATACTTCAAATCGTTATCGGAACTAGTGATGGGCAATATCATATTTTCCCATGATTCTGGGTAGCAGGAGTGAGCTACAGGTCCTTGTTATCCACCTAATCACAGACAAAGAACTGATACTAACAGTGTATTCATGGCATTGCAGACAGTATGGACAAGTAGCTATTAACACATTAGTGTCTACACTTTGGTAGACATCAGAAATAAAATTAAAAAGTTGGAAAGCAATAAGTGACAGAAAGGAAGATATATTATAAAGGCACTTGCCACCAAGCCTGACAACTTCAGCTCAATCCCTGAGACCTACATGGTGAAATGGGGAGACTTCTCTCTCTCTTACACACACACACACACACACACACACACACACACACACACACACACACACAGTCACACACATATGAGTGAAGATAAAAAATTGCTTAAATCAAGGAGAAATTGATATGAGAAACTGCAAAGATTTTTATCAACAATTCAGGTCAAGTAGAGCAGAAACGGTGTCCTTATTCATACTTACATACCATGCATTTGCACTCACCAAATAGTGAGTACACATTGTTCCCAACAATTTGTTTCTCTACATGCTTGGATATGATCTGAGTGTTTTGGATAAGGGCATATTTATATGCCACTTATAATACACTTCATGGGCCATGGCTTTTGAAGCATTTCCTCCTCACCTGGATGGAGCACTGAGGCTGATGTGGAGCAAGGCTGGGGAGGCCTAGCACCCTCCAGGGCAACAGAGCTTGTTACCCTACTCATGCTTCCCCACAAACTCTAGATTAGGGACATCTGGAACCGCCAGTGCCTTACTTTCAGTTTTTTTTACCCAAGTTTACAATAGCAACAAACCAACACTAGATTTTGGTAGAAAACAGATGCAGAACATTCTTAAAACGCCAATTTCTTACTGGGTTATGTCTCCTGACATAGTTTTGCTGGAATATCATTTTTCTGTCATTGCTCATCCATTTTATTTTTAAGAATTTTGACAAGTATTTGTTTACTTATTTGTTTTTACGTGATATAGCTGTTGAAGTCATTGGTGTTTGATTGCACTGCTATGATTTACTTGGGCAGTAAATACAGATGTGGATTCTTTTAGGCCACTGGAATATACTTCTTCATACCACAAGATGCTACTCTCACAGGACGGAAGAAAGAGGCACGGTCCCAAATATCAATAGATATAGATATTGGCTTTACATGTGCAGTCTGGATCTATTAGAGGACCACTTGAATAAGTCTCTATGCAAATCAAAGCACTTACCCAATTCGTATTTTCAGCATGCCACTGAACAACTCAGGGCTATTGGAGATGATCCAGCCGATATGGATGACCAGTTCTTGCTGAATGACTGCCTCCCTTTCATCGTGGGTATTACATTTATAATAGATGATGTTCTTAATCACTCTGGGAGACAGTGGATTAGAGATGACCTCCTCTTCATGTCCAAAGGCACCCAAAGTTACCTGTAAGTGCCAGACTGTACTGTTAACAAATTCCTAGCTACAAAAAAAAAAAAGGAAAAACATTCAAGGTTCAGGATGACTGGCAGGCTGAAATTGCTCTATGCAAGCTAGGGAGTTAGAAGGATAACTGTTTCTGATATTTATTAAAAATGGCTTTCAAAGATGACTCTCCTTGAGGTCCATGATGGTTCAGAGTCTAGTCTAAAATGTAAGGGCAGATGAGGGTCTGAGGGGAGTGAAGACTGAGTAGATATAAATAACTATTAATTTTGGGGGAGGGCAATGCTAGTGCTAGAAAGTCCCTAGAGAACCAGAATACATTCGATAGTTGTATTTTACTACATAGTTCGGCATTTGGGAGATCTATTTTTTACAGTTTCTCAACTAGAACCTTCTGCTCTATAAAAACATTTCAACCTTTCCAGAGTCAGGAGGAAGGCCATGCTGTTTTTGTGTAGCCCTCACTGATCCTGGAATAATGTGAGTTATATATGGAGGGTGACGATCCATGGTACTAGATGGCTCACCTATGGAATGAAGGGATTGGCTGCCCTCAAGCCTGCCAAAGGAAAAATCTCAGAGGAAATGACAAAGAAAACTCAGAGCAGAAAGAGCGGATAGAGCTGGCAGAGGACGCCTGCAGCCCCCCTCTTTCTTGGCCAGCTGCTTCTCAGGGCTCTGCAGCTCCTGCTTCCCTGTCATCACTACTTCTCATCTCTTCTGCACACAGCTCCTGACTGCACGGGGCAGGAAAAGCAGCAGCATCTCAAAGACATGTGCTTTTAGAGATGAGGGATGAGGAGCAGAACATGGTCTCGTGCTCCAATGTTGTACTGGAAAGAACTGGCTTGGTATAGTGGCAAACATCTCAAATCAATTCTCTTGGAAGCTGAGGCAAGAGGACAATGAGTCTGGACGCAGCCTGAGCTTTAGATAATACATACATAAATACATATATACATACATATACATACCAAGTAACCTCTAAGAACTACTGATTTAGCAAACATTAATGACACCAACCAGTAAATATGAGTATGATTACTTTGATTAAAATATCATCATGTAAAGAAAACAGAGGTACATTATTGGCTCCCAGAGATAATGAGACTAAGCTACTTTTAGCCAAGAGAGCTTGAGACAATTTACAAGTCATTTGAGGAAACCACACTACTTCAGGCTGGAGCAGATCTTATAAATGAGTAAATGCACACTTTGCTTTATTTCCATTACTCTGTCTGTGAAGGGATGAGAACCAGTTGAAGAAGAAACTGCCTGCATCTGGTCATTAGGCTGAGCTGTTGGCATCTGGCCTCACACTTTGCTGTAAGGGAATATTTCTCTGGGAGATGTGTTGGTCTGGTGGACAATAGTCCAGCCATAGCTGGAGGGCAGGTTCTGAGGCTTCCGGAATGTGGGTACAGGGTCTTGAAGGCAGGCTGCAGCCTCTTATGGATATGCTCAGAATGGAGAAGATAAACCCACCCTTCTAGTGTCAGGCCAGTAACTGCCAACAGCTCTAAAACCCAGGAGGATTAGCTCGACTTCAGCACTATGGGGATTTAAACCCAGCAGAAACATGTTTCTCAAAGCCTGGCTAACTTCGTTCACAGATGCAATGGTGCTGGACAAGAGCACAGGCTCTGGATACAGATAAAGATCCTGGTAATAACAGGTACTAGGTAAATGACTTTCTATTCCTTGGTTTGCCAAATCACTGACAATGGTTTAAGTTTACCTCCTAATGTGGAGCATGGAGTAAACTATATGGAAAGTAACTTTTTCTCAGTAATTTCTTATTAGTGTTATTATTTTTAATTGTTGAACAACATCATACGAGAAGGTAAATAACATTATTCTGATATCCCTAAAGCTGGGTTTCCAAATGAAATTATTTCATTTTTAATTAAGAGCCCTGAAATATGAGCAATTAGTTGATGGTATTGAGGAAAGTTAAAGAACTCAATTATTATTACAGCTTTCTATATCCCTAGATTAGCTGTCAGGAACACACAATAAACACATGCATTTCCAAAGGGGAGGCAGAAGGCAAACAGGATTACATGCTAATCAAACAGTGAATCAGCCAGATGAGCGGAGGTTACAGCAAAGAGCAGTGGCACCAGACTTCACATGCACAGCTCAAGCCAACCCATTTATTACCAAGGGTGTGGAAAGAGACACAGGGCTGGTGAGGGAGGAGGGAGGGAAGGAGGGAGGGAGGGAGGGAGGGAGAGAGGGAGGGAGGGAGAAAGAGAGAAAGTGTGCCAACTATAGATGGGTCTGTGAGCAGAAGTGAAAGAGTCGAACCTGGTGGGTAGGAAGGAGCTAGGCGGTGACATGGCCTGCAGTGTCAAGGGTAGAGGAACAGTACAGGCATGTAGACTCTGCCTTCACTTGAGCATCCATGAATTTATAAGGACTGGGAAGGGAGGGATCAGGTGGAGTGGGAGGAAAATGTGTGCTTTGCTATGCACCTGGCTTCTGCTCTGCACATCATAAACCTGTCTGAGTGCCCACTAGGGACACTATTCTATCTCTGCACCAGAATCTTCACTCAAGTAAGCTTGGGGGCTGAAAAGGAGAGCCCAAGGTGCAGGACGGAGATGAGATGGCCCACTAAATGCTCTGCAGCTTTCAGACTGTGCTTGAGGAAAGAGACTTTTGAAGAAACTCCCAAGCCACTGGTAATCTCTTTGTGAGCGTCTGTGCCATCAAGGTAGGCCAGACAGTCATAAGTGTCCTAAGCAGAAATTGTTGGGAGTGTGATGCGGAAAACAGATACTTACCTGCTTGCCCTGTACTAAAACATTAGTAATGGATGGGGCCAGGCTGTCCACTACTTTACTTAAAAGACTTGCTGCACGGCGTACAACCGACCTGAGGGCAAAGAAGAAAGCAGGCCAGATCTTCACAAACAGAAAAGATGATGAATGGATGGTGCCCTTGATTTGGGAAAACTTAAAATATATACAGTTGGGTCCTCACATGATAGAGAAGAGACAAACTGTCATTAGACCTGACCCTTCAAAGACAGTCTCACCCTCACTGTGGCCACCAAGCTGTGGCAAAATGCATCACTGGTGCCAAGATCAATATCAAAAAAAAGGGGGGGGTGAACCAAGAGGTCCTAACTATTCTTTTAATTGGGATGGGAGAGGGAGGAATTCATCTGCTTTGCATCAACAGATGGATGAAAGCATCACCGATGCTTGTGACTGACTCCTATACCAATTATACTACATTTCTTTCTAAAACATTCTTTTAAATCGTGTGTGTGTGTGTGTGTGTGTGTGTGTGTGTGTGTGTGTGTGTGACTGTGGGTACACATGTGTATATGTGTGCAGGTGCCTGCAAAGACAGGCAGCCTGGAACCCCTGGAGCCAGAGTTACCAGTGGTCATTAGCTGCCAGAAATGAGGAACCAAGCCTGGATCCTCGGGAAGGGTGGTATATGTTCTTAACTACTGGGCCATCTCTCTCTAGCCTTGAACTGTGTTTCTTTTGATATCTGGATAATCAGATGCCTGGATTAGGAGACTCAGTAGTGAATTTCAAAAATGAATTAACCTCACTTTCTCTTTCAATAAAGACAGACTGTTGGGGGAAGGAATTCACACTTCTATTTTTACATCCCTGAAAAAGTCTTAGAATGTAGAGAGAACAGATTTACACCCCCCAAATTACACCACATGCAATATAAGACAGTTCCCCTCAAAAGTAAAATTTATATGAACATTTAGAGAAAGTAAAATCAAAACCATTTTTTTTAATTTCAGGATCTCCACAGAAATTGGCCTATAACAAGCATTTCTATTTCTTAATTACAACATGAATAGACTAGTAGAAAAACAAGCCAGTAGCTGACCAAGTTAGTGAGACACATACTTCCCATTCCTAGAGAGACACTTTTACCAAATACTTGAACATCAAAAGACGCATATAACCCTTGGAATGCAGATAAACCCACACAGATCAAGCAACTTGAGTTTCCCAAATTCTGAGCATGTTACCTGTTTCCCATGCACCAGAAAGGTGGTAATGTGAGGGGCTATAGAGGAGGAAAATTTCTGGGTAAATGCAGCCCCGTACCGCACAGCCAGCCTGGGGGCAGTGGAAAGCCATAAAAGGGAGAATAGAATAAATAAAGCTTCTGGAACTCGATGGTTTAAATACAACAGTCAGCATTTCTAAATGTTTGCTACCTAGTGTTTTATCAAAGACACAGTCTAATGCAGAAGCAAGAACTGGTTTTGCCTAGTGCAAATGACACTATATGTACATGCGAAACACACGATCTATAAAAACATCTACTGACTGCATGTCTTACTGTGCTGAGAGCTTACAGTGGAAAACTGAAATATCTAAGCTGGGTGCTTATTATTTCCCTAGGCAGGAAGAGTGCAGTTACCATAAAGCAGAGATGTAGCACTTAGTTAGAAATTATTTTGTCCAGTCCCCTTATTTCAGAGAATAGAAAGCTGAGGTTTACTAAGATTAAGGGAGTTTCATAAGAAACAACTTGAGACTTAATTGCATCAAAATGCAGAGCTGCATATTGAGGTCCACTCTCTTCATTGTGAATTTAAACAGCTTTATTCATGACTCTTTCAACTTAAGTGATGAGATCATCATCTTTCATTACTTTTGCTTAGGATTAAATGGTCTTTTATGGCCTTCTAAAACAATAGAACAGATTTTCTAAACATAAGATGGACCCTAAAGAACCTCCTCAGGATAGTGCAGCACAGCAGAATTACGGTCCTGCTATCCCAGTGAGGGAGGACTCAATCCCTGCAGGGTTCTCATCCCCAGAGATCTTCTTTTAGTGTCCTGTGACACAGGAACACCCTTCAAAAGGCTGAAGGCAGGGGGCTGTAACTTTAGAGCTTAAACATCAAAATGAAGATGAGCACCGTCTGTAAGAATCAACTGTTATCGTTAAGGTACTGAATATAACAATACAAAAATGAAAACACAACAAGGAAACAATACAAACCAAAGCTTTTTGGTGCCAGCTCTTCTATACACTCTTTCAATGTGATCAGACACAGTACCTAGACATAGGATAAGAAAAGTCTTCATTGAAGAAAGCTTTTAATTAAACACACAACATTTATTTCCCTTAAATAAACAAAACCTCTTCAATCTTTATTTTGTTTTGAACTGCTTGGTTTAAATATGTAACCCAAATAAGAAGCATGTGGTCCTAGCACCTTTATGATTTGGTAGTGCTTTCAAAATTCTATTGTTTTCTTAACTAATATGTAATCTAAACTTTTAAGCAAATACAAGTATTATTTTAACTTTCTACAGAAAACAGAACATAGTAAAATAATTAGGTAACTGGGTCTATACCTATTTTTTCAGTGAAGGGTTACTGTTCAGTATGTGGAGCTGTGATCATCCAACAAAAACCCCAAAGATGCACACTTAGGCCATGACTCACATGTGGTCAACACATCCCCTGGGATTCACACTTGACCAAGACCCACATGTGGTCAGCCCCCACACCCCCAGGACGCACACTTTGGCCATGGCTCACATGTGTTCAGCACTCTGGACTGGTTTTGTCAATAAGAAACAATGTGACAGAATTGAACTCCAAAAGTTAGTAAGGATAAGGAAAAAGATCTTTAAAATTTCCTATCACTCATTTTTACAGTCATAAATGAGAGGATGCTGCCAACACTGGCTTGGTGATGCAGGCTGTATTCCAAGCCGCCCAGCGGAGGCTGGAGGACTGCAAGGGCAGAGCTTGCCTGGACCACGGAGAGGGTGAATGACAGACAGTGTGCACAAGCTAGTGAGGCCGCCTCAGAAAGAGCAATAACAGGGCTAGAGATGCAGCTCAGTGCAGAGCATCTGCCTAGCATGCACAAGGCTGAGATTCAACTCCCAGTGCTGCAAAATAAAAACAATAAAAAAGCAATACTAAAGTCTTTCAAATATCTAAGTAAAAGACTTTTATTTTCAAGTTTATAAAAAAATTCTTTGAAAATATTCCCCAGTAATAAATAACTAAAAATAAATCAAAACCCCAAAATAACTCCCAGTATTTTATTGTATAATATTTTAATGATTGGAAAGATTTAAACATTGTTAAAATAATTATTTAAAATTCTAGATTCCTAGTAATATGTTGAATTCTTTTTTAATTTTAACTTAAAAATATCTTACTTCCTTTTGGTTTAACTGAAGGTTGGATGTCAATGACTGTCCTTAATACAATTAAGATTCTGCTAATACTTAGTATTAAGACTTAAAAAAAAAAGATTTTGTTTGAAATCTGCTTCATAATACTGAAGAACTGTGACTTACAATAATTCAGAAATTAGGGAGGCTTTATCTAAGTGAGTTTAGTTCATTACCAGAACTGTGACTATTAGTGTAACAGTGGCATTTAGGACCCTTCCACTTTAGCCAAATTAACATGTACCCCTGAACAGTGTTTTGAGACAAATCCAAAAATCCCATGACTGGAAATTAAACATTTTTCAACATATCCTATAATATTCTGTACCATAAAATGCCAGAAACAGATCACGATATAGAACTTAAGGATTCCTCACAGCAGCAACCTAACATACAAATGTGGACTTCAAGGATAACTGAGTCTCCTCCTCAGGGCAGAGTGGACACAGACACAATTAGAAATGAGTTATTTTTCCATTGATTACCTTAAGAGCAAAATTCTATTAAGTGCCATATTCTGTTCCAAATGGCTACTACAAACCATGAAGAAGCCAATTTTCATAAATGTAGCTATTCAATACTATTCTCAAAAAATTGCAGGAAATAAAATGGGAAACAGCAATGTCAATAAGCAACTGTAGGGTGCTCAGAAGTTCACAGTCACAGACAGAATGCAGGCTTTAGGAACAGTCAAGCACAGAAGCGAGCTACTACATGGGAGTCATATCCGAGTGGACTGCACTAGAGGGAGAAGGAATGCCTTCCATTTAAAGGGGTGAAGATTTAATGGAAGAGGAAATAACTTAGAACAGTGGGCATTTTTATGCATGTTTGATAGAAATTCTTCTTATATTATCTTATATATAGAGGTCCTCTTATACATATGTCCCTGCTCATTTACTCTTACCTTCCATTGTGATGAAGTTAGGGCCCTCTCTTTTGAGCAGTATACCCAGTAGGATGGTTTGACCAGCCAGACAACTACAGTCCTGAAAACATCAATTGGCATAAGGAACTGGGATGAAATGAGTATCAGTAACCATAGGATTTAACTAATAATAAAACCACACGAAGCAGAGAGGGAATAGCCTGATATGGAAGTAAAGAAAGATAAGATGTCATTGATATAATAAATATAAGATGACATTACAGATCTGTTGGTCTGAGATGCCTTGAAGGCGGAGGGTACACAAGCCAGGTTCTGGATACAGCAGGATTTAATGATCAAATATTCCAGTAAACGAAACAATTGGTGGACAGATTCTACAGTGTACAAATATTAATGTACCACTATCTGATACTTGGCCAAGTCACTCTCTTTCTGATTTTACTTACTTATAAATGGGAGACCACGCTACTACTACCATGGTGTATGGAGAAACATATGACAGAAAGGGACACATAAAGAATATTTATATTTCAGAACACTGTGTATGTTCTTTGTGACTGCTATGGGATATTTTTGCTTATATGGATTAATAAGAAGCTAGCCATGATTGGAAGGAAAGAATCTAGTCTACATGCTCAAATCTGTGTGGCTCAACAAGACCCAGTGTTTACAGCTCTACCAGTAAGGATTCATTTCTTTTTATAAGTGTGAATAATCTCAAGAGAGATTAATAAATTGCTAAAACACTCATGTGGGTACAGAAAGAGGACTATGTTCCTCAGAGAGAGGGGAGACAAAGCACTTATTGTAGCTAGACGCTGGGACAGGAGAGGTATGGATGGAGCTGAGAGAGAAAAGAGCGCCGAAAGCAGGCTATGAAGAACCCATAGGCTGCCATCACTGACTCAACCAACTCCAATCTGAGAAAGCCTATTCGTCTGCATTCTTTCATGCATCCACACTGACTCTGGCCCAATAGGACAACTTTTCACTGCTTGCCCTGGGTGCAGATCAGCCACCTGTTTCTCTCAGAGGACACAAAGACACACGGCCTGACTGGGAGGTTCTGTTCTGGCAGGTATGATTATATCTTGCTCACATTCAGCTTCTGGAGGATTTCATGGGTGGGTTTGTTTCTCCACTCGGAAATGGTGATGTCTGGTTCCGGTTTCAGCTCAGGAGCATCTACGGTACTGCTCTGTCGTTTGACTTTTGAATGCTTGGGAAATTCTAGTTCTTCAAAGCTCTTAAATTCTGGAAGTCTGGAAATCAAAAGAAAACATTTCATATTTCCCATTTCTTACTATAATCACAAGAAATGCAAAACCCAAGTAACTCAAGGGAACTTACTTTTCTGTGTCACTAATTCGTAGGAAGTCAAGCTGCTCTACCACAGCTCCAGATATCAGTGTCTGAAATGGGAGGATTGAAAATGTTTACATCTGTCAAACTACACTCTATGTGCATACGTTCTATAAGCAATGCTGAAGCTTACTTAAACATGATTCTGAAGTGATTTCCTAAATTCAGAGATCTCTATATGTAACAAATGAAAACAGAACACGAACATCGAAAAATAGACTGCACACACTAAACAAACAAGTGCATGAGTCATATTAAATAGGGCAGCCACCACGAGATGGCCTCCCTGTTACCTGAATTTTAAGCATTTATTCGTTCATGACAGTGCTGGGGATTGAGGCCAGAGTCTCCACTGACTGTTTAAACCTCCATCTTTATATGCTTTATTTTAAAGTAGGTACTAAACTATTTCAGCATTTATTAAACATTTAGAAAATGAAGTACTAAATTGTGTTGAGGAAAGGCAATAGAAAATTATACCCTGGATTCTGATATTGCAATATATTTCAGGCCCATACAGTGATGTAATAATCAACTCTCCCTTTTACAGGATCATGAAGGTAATGATTAACTAAGCGATTGCTTCTCTGAATTCTGGCATGTGGCAACCTATACTTGGTCATTTTCTATTTTATTACTTCTCAGTTATAAGTTGGTCTATATTATAAATGAGTCTAATCTCAAACACATTTTTTACTTGTCAATGTATCATGGTGAGTAGTATGAATAGATGATTATATATAATGGTTTTTAGCATTACTTATCACTTTTAATAATCTATACTACTGTCAGAAAATAAGCTGAAAGGTATTTTTTAATTAAGTATCCCTATTAAGATCATCTTACAAATACCATTTTATCCTAGTTTGATTCAAATATGAAAAAGCAGTGGGAAAGAGATATTGCTTTTGGTGGCAAATGAACCCATCATTTTTCTAGTGGAAATGATGAAAGAGGGACATTCATGAATACATACAGATACAGGAAGGACATACAACACAGGCACACCAATCTTCCTGTAGATAAGGATAAGAAAGCCAAATGTGCAACCTCTGTGTACATTTCAACATTGCCCAACTATAAGTAGACTGCTCTTAGATTATGAACTTTCTAAGGGCATGGTCTTTGTCTGGAATTGTTGAATGGTGTTTCTTAACATATGAGCTCATAGCTATACATCTTGTTCTTTGGTAAAGTAATTTGTTAGACAAATTTTAATGGGCCATATGCAAGCATTGTATTAGGCGCTAAGGATTAGTATAAAAAAATATATGAAATCTTTGCTCCCTTGAAGCTGACTATGGTGGTTCAAAAGAAAATGACCCCTAAAGGGAGTGGCACTATTAGGAGGTGTGGCCTTGTTGGAGAAAGTGTACCACTGTGGGGGTGGGCTTTGAGGTCTCTTTTGCTCAAGCTTCTCTCAGTGTGACAGTCAGTTGACTTCCTGTTGCCTGCAAGATGTAGTACTTTCAGCTTCAGCACCACACCTGCCTGCACACTGCCATGACCATCTCCCCATCATGATGATAATGGATTGAACCTCTGAACCTGTAAACGAGCCACTCTGATTAGACGTTTTCTTTATAAGAGTAGCCATGGTCATGGTGTCTCTTCACAGCAATAAAAACCCAAACTAAGCCACTGACCTTATGAGTATGTCTATGAGATGGAGACTATAAACTTAGTATACACCAGATAATGTAAGTGCAAAGCAGAAAAGTAAGTGCTGAGTAGAAATAAGGACAGTAGGAGGATGGGGTACCAGGGCAGAGGAATTTGAGGAGGCAGGTTAGCCATTGTATGTACATGACCTGGAAAGTTCTCTAAGAAGATAACATGTAAACTAGACACTGGGAGGAGGACTGTAGTCCACGCTCAGGCCGAAGGAGGACTATCAAGTGCAAAGGTCCCAGGGCAGGAACACCCATGGTGAATTTGAGGAGCAATAAGGAAGACAGCATGGCTGAATAGAGCGGCAGGGAAGTTGGTAAAAAGCCATGCCCATGATGCAGGTGCAGAATTTACGGATCACATGAACCCTCTTCAGGACTCTGGTTTCCACTTTTGTGTGTGTGAGACAAGAAGTCACCAGAGGTTTACAACCCATGTGACTGCCAGTTATAGGTGAGTATAACAAAGCTAGTTGTCTATAGTACAATTCAGGAGATGACAGAAAATCTAGTGAGGGACAATGATAGTCTGCATCATGGTGTCAACACTAGGAGAAGCGAGTTAGAGCCTGGATACACTCTGAAGGTACAGACAACAGGGTTTAGTAAGTGATTATCATGTAGGGTTTGAAAAACAGTAAAAAAAACAAAAACAAACAAACAAACAAAAAAAAACCAAAAAAAACCCTACCAAATTCTTAAAGCCAATAACAGTATTGAAAGCACACAAATGAAACTTTTATTTAACATTTTATATTTATATAGTCTACTTATCCTTATTGGATATTTCTGTTCATAAAGTAAATGTTTACCTTAAGTTAACTGGCTAATGCCAAATTTCTATAGATTAATACTCTGCAGGTTTCAAACTGAAAACACCACTTGGTATTAGAGGGTATTAAACTAGTTAAAAATACTTGATTTTTCTGGAAAAGGATGCATAAAAGGAGGCAAGAGTGCTCAAGCTGGAGAACAATGGGTGCTTCTGTTCAGAAATTGAGTGGGCATGCTGTGGTGCTTGAATGGAACAATGATTCCTCCTGGTTGGATGCTATAGCTTGGAAGCAAAACAGCATGTGACCCAAGTGCCTGTAAAAGCCCCAGGTTAATAAGCCAGTCACTTGTCCACCATGAACTTGTTTCCTCAAATACCAAAATGAAGTTAAGCTACCAGAGTCTAAAATTCTGCTTGGGAAACAGCCACTGTTCAAGCACCTGACTGGTACAACTGGGTAAACTGAGGTGATGACAACAGAGCAGGAAGAAAAGCACAGAATAAAACGTGTTAAACACAGAGAGAAACATGGCTGCCCAGAGATGAGCTATCCAGAACCAGCAACATGCTGATGTTTAGAAGGCTACCTGTAGACGATCAACATGAACTTTGACTCCTCCAATTACTCCCTTCTTAAAGGCTGCCAGCATGTCTAATATGGGGTTGAACCTGCTACCTCTAGAATAAAGCAGATAAACAAAACAAGTTTATTAACAACAGAATGGGAAAGTAACAATCAAATATTTGCTATATATGTGCGAGAGCTTGCAACATGCTAAGAATACAAAAATACCAGGAGGCTCTGTTTTCAAATGTTCTGTGTTAATAGACAGAAGGCAAGTGAAGCTTACTTTCTAGAAGCATAGGTATTTTACTTTTAGTTATATGATGTGTGTGACTGTGTGGGGGTGTGTATGTGTGAATGCAACCCACAGAGGCCAGAGGAGAGCATAAGGCTCTCTGGAGCTGGAGTCACAGGTTGTTGAGGACCACCTGGCATGAGTGCTGGGAACTGAACTCAGTTCAGGTCCCCTGCAAGAACTGTATAGCTTTTTAACCTTGAAGCCATCTCTCCAGCCCCACAGTCTACTTCCCCATCATCCTACCTTATGTTGTCTTCCCGGATGAGGACAAGGAAAAGTGGGCGTCCATGCATTTTCCAGTATTGCTTAATGAACTGTAGTGCATTCTATCAAAAAATCAGATGGAGGTAGGATGTCATGGAGTAATTTCTGAGGTTACTCAGGGTCATTAACTGGGAGGCAAAGAGCCCATGACACTTGTAATAGTTGATAATCAAACCCTGGATAATTTAGGCTGCTCAGAAGTGCAGAATCATTTTCATGTTACACTTTATTCTATGTTTTGAGGCTCTGACTTATTCACCTTTTTTTACTCCCTCCTTCCATGTTTTTCTCTCCCTATAAAAGTACAGCTCATGAATGAACTGAGAAAACATTATCTCCAGAAGACTGTCACCACCTTTCACTATAGATTAGTGCCAAGAGACAGAAGAGACTGAACTGGACCTGTGGAAACCATCAGTTTCGTGTAGAGAGCACTTGGAGTAAATATGTATTCTCATCACCACCACAGAACTTTTCACCACACGCTCGTCACTGTTTGAGTGTTTTACATATATTAATTCATCAGTGCCTCAGAACAGTCCTTTTATTATCTGGTTTTACAGATGAAACAAGAGGGGCACAGGAGCTAAGTGACTTGCCCAGTTAATAACCGAGTCAAAACTTCATCAGATGTAGTCTGGCCCAGGCTGTGACTATGGTTCTAAGCCTCTCTGCTCTACACACAGAGTAGAGTGGAGCACAGCTTAACCCATACAATTATGGGTTAGTTGCAGTCCTACTGGACAGTCTTCACGAATCAAATTATTCTGCTAATTCAATTTTTGCTCAAAAAGAGATGGACTATTAGTATCACAGAAGCTCAGTTTTAAACTATATCTTTTCTAGTTCTAGAAAAGTATGATTTTATTTTAGCACAGTCAGAATCTCAAACTCTACCAAGGTGCTGCTTTACTCAATGTTGCACAGTGTCACAGACACCCAGGAACTCTCCATTTAACAACACTTGACATAAATCAGTGTGAACAAAATCATCTCTTTTCGGAGCTACCTTTATGTCATCTATCAGCAGCAGAACGTCCTGAGACATATAGAAATCACTCAGGTCAAAGATGATGGGATAACAAACCACAGTCTTTCCTAGAATTCGATAAATCTGCAAGAAGAAATAGAAAGCAAATAGATACACATCACAAAGGTATAGTATCCTAAGTCTCAACAACAATTAATACTACTACTTATTTCTGAATAGGCAAAGTAATAGCTTACAAAATCCATAAAGTATTAATTTTAAAGTTTTTTTTTTTGCTTGAGTCAGTATGACAGTAAACTTAAAGTAGAACATTCCTAATAAGGATGAAAAATCCTACGCTTGAGTAAATATTATTATAAATGCTTTACAAAGCTTAGAAATAACATGCAATGAGATGTTCATTTATTCCCAGAATGCTTCAGTAATATGAGACACAATAAGATTTATGTGCAGAAATAATTCAAATAACTGCCTCAAGCACATAATGAAATGTGACAAGGGATGGCCAGAGGCCAAGCATGACTTCAGCATGCAGAATGATTACCCAAAGCTACTCCATGAGCAAAGCACACACTCACCTTTGATGTACCAAGGCAGCCAATGGGCCTATCCGGCCTTCCGGACAGTCCTAGCTTTTCATTGATACCCAGATGGAAATAAGCCTGTAAGATACAAGTCCCTTGGCTTACTAATGATATTTCTAGAGTAAAAGGTGCTGCCGAGGCTCCATCTAGGATCAACAAACTAGCCAAAGAATGGAGGATTTTGGATAACTGAGTTTTTGAGAACAAAATTTTAGATTCACTTAGCAATGTTCTAAACTGTGACACTGTTATTGTATTGGTGGAAGTGTACAACCTACATGGTTTTGATTCATAAAGCAATTTAAAAGAGACAAATGCTTTCCTTGTCATTACAAAAACAAAAGAAATATATCCACTTAAAGTTAAAAAAAAAATCAGGGCCATACATCTTCTATCGACTTTTTACTTTCAAGTACATTTTATGAAAATAGAATCATTTTTACTGATTTGTTTCCTGATTACATGTATTTCAAAGTACTCCAACCCAAAATGTTGGTCTTGTTTATTTTCATACCTTATGCAACAATTATTTGACTCTGATATATTTTGAAAGGGGTGTGTAAGTTATTGTGTAAGTCCAAAGAAGCATCAAGAGACTCTTAAAGACACAGGTTAAATGTATATCCATAATATACATATGGATCAATGGGCACACATTTATATAAATGGTTCCTATGATATATAGTCTTCTTGATGTCACAGTCATTGAGCTTATCTGGCTGTGTTCCAGACAAGATGTCAAACAGAGGCACTAGGGGACAGGAAGGTGCCAGAGTAGAACATCCATCACTGGAATTGCTATGAGTTAAAAACATCCAACCAAGGAAGCCCCTTTACCTATGTAGACTCCACCCTCGATGAAATTAGCTCTCAATTTTTTGTTATTTAAAAAACATTTTAAGTAATATCTTTGGACAGTATGTAATTGTATCTACAAGATAATTTCTTAGACTTGTTTGACCAAAAAGACTGTATATATAATGCTAAACAATGTATCTTAGGGGAGGAAGCCCACAGAGCAGCTGGTTTGGAATACAGGCTGTAGACACAATCAACAAATACTCTTCCATCTTGATACAAGCACAGGGAAGCTGGGCTGTTGGTCATAAATTTGTCTTAAGCCATATCCCACCACCAAGGTATAAATCCCTTGCTAACACCATTTTAAAATAATAAAATGTAAATGAGGACATGCTTCAGATACTGTGTAATAGAATGTCTTTTGCTGCCTCTGTGCGCCCATAGCATTTTGTACAAATACCTATTGCAGCTGTTATCAGTGTGAACTATAATTAACTGTTTTTTTTAAATGTCATACATACCACTAGACTCAGAGGTCATTTAAGTGACACTCAGTGCTTTGCATATTCCAGATATTTGCTGATGAATAGATAAAAGCCACATTCAAGTAACTTTTAATCTATGCTGACTATCCTTTTACATATGAATTGCATGTCATCTGTTAGAAAATTATCTACCTATCATTAAAAATGTGCTTATATTAATTAGACTTGAAAAACAAGCTTTAGGTTAATTTGCTTTGAAGCCATACTCATCAAGGACTAACCAGGCTACAATCCACAACTCCAGAGAAGCTAGGTAAAGAGGAGGACCCTAAGAGGGACACCCTAAGAGGATCACCCCAGGAAGGGGAAAAGGTTACGGTCTCCTGGGTAAACTGGTAGGGGAGAGTAGAAGGGAGGGGATGGGAGATGGGAACATGAGGGTTCGAGATGGCTGAGTTGGGGGAAGGACGGAGAGGAAGAACAATGAAAGAGAGGGGGCCATTAAGGGGATGGGGAGAAATCTGGAGCTAGGGGAATCCCCAGGACCTCACAAGGATGTCCCCAGCTAAGACTCCTAGCAATGGTGGACATGGTGCTTGAACTACTAGCCTTCCCCTGTACTCAGATTGGTGTCTACCTAATGGTCATCATAGAACCATCATCCAGTGACTGATGGAAGCAGATTCAGAGACCCACAGTCAAGCTCTTGGCCAAGCTCCTGGAGTTCAGTTGAAGAAAGGGAGGAGGGATTGATTATAGGAGCAAGGGGGGGGGGTCAGGATCATGATGGGAAAAACCACACAGATAGGTGACTCATGCTAGTGGAAGCTCATGGACTCTGGACTGACAGCTGGGGAGCCTACATGAGACCACACTAGACCCTCTGAATGTGGGTGACAGTTGCATGGCTTGATGTGTTTATGGGTCCCCTGGCAATGAGACCAGAACTTAATCCCAGGTACATGAACTGGCTTTTTAGAGCCCATTCTCTATGGTGTGATGCTTTACTCAGATGTGATTCCGGGGGGGGGGGGGGGGGGGGGGGGGGGGGGGGGGGGGGGGGGGGGGAAGGGGGGGGGGGGGGGAGACCTTGGTCATGCTCTAATTTGGTATGCTAGCTTGTGTTGACTACCCAAGGGAGGACTTAGCCCCTATGAGAGGGGGATAGGAGTGGGGGGAGAGGAGGGGATGGAGGGAAGGGGAGGAAACAGGAGTTAGTATGTAAAATGAAAAAATTTTTAAATAAATAAAAAAATATTAAACAAAGAAACAAAAGAATCCTTTTATTTTTTAACTTTATCTTTCTACTGTGTGGTGAGTCGTTGGAAAAAGAAGGGATGTAAATTTAAAAAAAAAAGAATACATTTAAACTTATTTATTGTGTGGGTACACATGTGCCATAGCATGTGTGTGAAGGTTAGAGGGCAAACTGTAGGAGTCAGTTCTTTCCTTGCTCAATGTGGGTTCTAGAGATCTAAGCAAGACCTGGCACTGTGGTAGTACTCCTACGCTCCAGAGCCATCTCACTGGCCAAAGGCCTATGCTTTAAAGGAGTGTAAGGATTCTCTAAGAAGCAGTACTTTTGGTGCCCAAAACCCAGGTTTCCGTTTGTGCTGTATTATTGGCAAGCCAAGTCTGATGAGCACAGACTATGTGCCCCTGCATTGTCCCATATAACATGCACCTCACTTCTTTCAGCCTTCATTCTTTAGTAACAGTCAAGGCTATGACTTCTATCATTGATATCAATTTAACCGTGATTAACTTGAGAGGTATTATTATAAACACTTCTGTCAGGCAGAGGGTAGCTTGTTTCTGGATTTTTGAAACCAATTAATAAATAAAATGCATTTATAAGTAACAAATGGAGTTGACAAATTCCTATCTCCAACAAGCAAGAGCACCCCTGTAGATGTAACAGTCTTATTAAATAAGAAACACAGAGCCAAATGCAGAGTTAAAAGCTCAAGAGGTCAGAGCAGTAGCTGAGAGCTGATACTAAAAACCCCTTTTTACCCTTTGCTGTCGCTGTTGTCCTTCCCCTGAGAAAGAGGACCTACTTTTTTTGTGTTTGTTTTTTTACTGACTTTTTGTTTTGTCTTTTTATTGGTTGTAAACCCAACCACATGACCTCCTCGTCACTGTCTATCTATACAGACCTTCACATCTTTTAAGGTTGGTATTGAGATTAAAGGCGTGTGTCTCCATGTTGGTGGTTCCTTGAACACACAGAGATCTGCCTGTCATGTGATTGGGATTAAGGGCGTGTGCTACCACTGCCAGACTTGTGCTAGGGCTTGCTATTAGCTCAGACCCCCAGGTAACTTTATTTATTAACATACAAATAAAATCACATTTTAGCACAAATAAAATATCACCATATTAAGTGCTGTGGATATCACTCTGTATAAATAAAATGCTGATTGGCCAGTAGCCAGGCAGGAAGTATAGATGGGACAAGCAGAGAAGAGAATTCTGGGAACAGGAAGGCTGAGTCAGGAGACCATGCCAGCTGCCACCATGGAAACCAACGTGTAAGATACTGGTAAGCCACGAGCCATGTGGCAAGGCATAGATTTATAGAAATGGGTTAATTTAAGATATAAGAACTAGATAGCAAGAAGCCTGAGCCCTCAGGCCAAACAGTTAAAATAATATAAGCATGTCTGTGTATTTATTTGGTTGGGTCTGAGCGGCTGTGGGACTGGTGGGTGAGAGAGATTTGTCCTGACCATGGGCCAGGCAGGACCAGGAAAACTCCAGCTACACACCCCCAAACACAACCCCCTCTGTACCCATCTTCAGACACCCCAAATAGGCATGTAACTATGTCAAAGCCAGATATTATCATTCACTTTCTTTAGATGCAACAAACCAAACATGTAAGAATGAAACGGGCAGGGGGCAGCAATTATAAAAAAAATGTTAAAACTGAGGTTTTAAGGTAATATGAGGGAAAATAAAACTATAAATGATATTACACATGACAAGTAAAATTGATACTGATCTGTTATTTAAAGTGCTTAGTCAAGTCTAGTAACTGATTTTACCAGGAAAAGAAATCAACATGACTCATGAATATAATGTAGAAACATACACAATGAAGATTTTATTAAGTAAAAATATGATAAAGTGGACCTGCTAACTTAATTATCAACTTTAAGATAATGATCTTCTATCAGGACTTCAATTAACTATGCATCCTGCCTTTGAATTAAGTCCAACAATTTTGTTCCAATACCTCTGCACAAGGGAGAAAGTAAAGACACAGAATTACTTACTTTTACAAGCTCCTGCTGAGGCCAGATCTGAATAGGTTCCACCTGCTGAGGAGTTTGAGTTTGAATGCCATACGTATTGAGAAAAACTTGAAGGCTAAACAGAGAACAGAGAGATGAGGTGGAGAGGGAGGAAGAGAGCTATTTTTAGATGTTGCATTTATAGTTCAGGAAATGTGAATGAAGGAGGTAAAGGGAACACACAATGCTAACTTTGAACATATGGTAAATTGGTTACTATCTGCAATACACCATGTACACTGGAATCCGAAGGCCTCAACAGCTTCTTCCCCAAAGTATCAGGAGCTTTGGGGGCAGTCAGGAAGACAGGCAATGATTTGGTAACATCTGTAATGTGTGGGTACTAATTTCTCATGTTCACATTTACATTTAAACATGAAAAGTATGTTGTATGACACTTAAGGTCACACTGATGACATGCTTGACACTGCCAAGGTTGGTTTCCATCACCATTCTCAATATGACAAACCTAAAGCAGCCATCCCCTCCCTTCCCCTCTCATCTGCACCTCATACCGTTGGCTTTCTGCTACAAGTGCTACATGAACCACCAAGTCGTTTTCCAGTGGACCCTGCAAGGCAGAAAAGAGGAAGGAGAAACATTGAAAAAGATTTGGTCATGGCCAGCTATAATGAGACTCAAGGACGATATTAACTACCTCCAAGCAGTTCATTAAAGTGATGGACACCAGTTGGGTCTAAGAGCGGCCTTTCTCTTCCTGCCCATCACTGCCTACTAATCAATTTGATGGTGTAGACAGAGTACCAGAACACCAGGAAGGGAAAGTCATAAATCTCACCACTACTAGAGAGGCTAGCTTGTCAGGGCTTTTTTGAATGATGCATAAGAGTAGTTTAGGAACTGAGAGTAATTTTCCATCATTTAACTCTGAAGGGAAGAGGAGGAACTAAAAATAAAAAGCTCAATTTATGTGCTCCCCATAAAAAATGACTGTGAGTTAAAACTGTTCATTTGACATCTTAACCATATATAAGGTTATTCCCTTTGCTGTTAGCCAATTTTCTTTTGGTACTTTATATATTTCAAATTATCTTTTTTTCTAATATATAGTTCCTACATATTTGTCTATATAATAAGCATTATGTTCTTTAAATATTAACTGCTAGATTAAGTAGTTCCAATCAAAGATAGCATTGGGTATTTGCTAGTCTTGTAGGAAGAATCACTATGATATATATTACACATATATAATTAATATATATGCTAAAAATGAACCCACTTCAAGCCTGTATAAATTATCCATATTAGGGCACTCTAAAAGTACTGATCAACTATAACCACTTCCCAGTAACAAATCCAGCAGTCCCAATAGCATGCGGTAAAGCCTTTGATTTACCACCGGTTTCTATGGGATTGCAGGCAAGAAACACTGGGATACTTATATTAGCAGTAAATATCATAAAATCAATAGGAGAGTTCCCAGAATCATCATGAAAATGACATTACAGGCAGACTGTCATTTGATTTAAATAAATGTATAAGAGAAATATGACTTAACAACCCAGCAAAATCAAACACACCTTACAAGGTTATAAACTGATACTTGGTAAGACCTTGCAAATGACTGTTTCTCAAAACAATGAGAAAAGTTATTCAGAGTCTCATCAAGATTTCTAACAACAAATAAAACCACTAAGCTGATGAGACCTAGTAATTAATTTGTCTCCAGGACAAAGACGTTTATGGGTTTCTTAGTAAACAGTAAGTCAAAAAATACACTCCAATACAGACATCAACAATGAAGCAGCTACAGCCTCTGACTGGTGAGCTGCTATCTTCTTTCAGAATCACACGTGGGTTTGGAGTCACACTGTTGCCACTTGTATGTGTTTAGAGCAAAACCAGCCATATATACCTTGAATCAAAATGAGGAAGTACCTAGTTAGGCTCATTAGATGACTGAGAAATCTTAACAGTACAGAAAACCAGCCTATCACAGAGTTCTGAGTCAGTCATCTACCAGATGGGGCTGGGGTCTGCAACTGCAGCACTACACCCCCTCAGCCCACTCCAGCGGCAGAAAGCAGACACCAGGGGTAGTCCCACCACAACTCCATGCCTTTCACTGTCAAAGTCAGAACCATATTTTAAAATCAATTATTATCTAAAGATTGCAAATTTGCTCTGATAACTTCTTTATCAGAAGGTAAGGTTAATTAGTACTTCCTGAGTGATAGTCTCTCTAATAATATAATATTTTCAACTTCAAAAGTTCCTCTCTCTCCCTTCCTCTCTGGCCAGACCTGTGGTACCACTATTCTCCCTTTCCCATTATTTATTCACTTACTTGACCAAGCACGTATCAATATACAAGGCTCCACATTAGACCCTATTTCGGCTAATAGAGCTTTGTCTCTCCTTGAGGAGCTCAGAGTCCACTGGGAGAGCTGGGGAACTGCAGGCTGTGACGTATGTCTATGATAACATACAATCTTTCCTGGCATGTTATTACAGTAGGAATTACCTTGTTAGGAAAACTATCTCCAGAGTATATTACATTATATAGACAGACCATACTTTACTTAAGGAATGCTTACTTTAATAGGCACATGGGTAGTTTCTAATTTTTTTGCTTCTGCGGAAGATTTGTTCTTACTTCAGAGAACTGCTAAGGCCTTTGGGAGAAAGCAAAGTGCTTCACTTCCTTGACGTACAAGACAGTCACCAAGAGGGCACTACTGCTACAGCTGTCCTCAGTTATTTTTAAGCCTATCCTAGGACAGCTGATCCTCTTTGGTGAGTTAAAAAATCTACATCACTCTGGTATGTCAGCCATTATCATATTACATATGGCTAGTTCTTCCCTAAAACATTTTAAAGTGTTTCAAAAGATTATTGTCATCTTCCTTAGTACAATAGTATGAATGTCTGTCTCCTTCCCCTTCAAATTCAGATGCTGAAATTTTAACTCTGAAGTGAGACTTTAACCGAAAAGTAAGTCCACACTAGATACCGAGTCTGCCCACTCAGGGCCCTGAGAGCTGCGGCAGCGTCCAGCACTGTGAGAACGTGTTGTTCATGAGATGCCCAGTCCGTGGTGCTCTGTTTCAGCAGCTGAGCAGACCGAGGCACTTTTCCTCTTCTCTTCTGCTCCCTGCCTGTGCTCTGCCTTCAGGGACGGATGGCCCACATAGCGAGGTTCTTTAGAATTTGTGAGCATTCATTCCATTCCTTTCCATTCTCCATGAGCCTCATTCACTCTGAAGCCTCCAATTATTATCTCTAAGCAGGTCTTTCTGTGATTTCTAGTTTTCACCTCCTTGCTTTTTAGTTCCAGTTCCCACAACTTACTTGTTGTATGGATGTTTCTCTCCAGGTTCTTTCTAAAGTGAGTTTTAAAACTTGACTCTCCATTAACCCAACCCTCATTCCAAACAGCTTTTTATTACAATTATTTAATTGGTCACTGTCTCTCAGTGCCTCCGAGTCATCTTTGATACTTCACCCTTTAAATCCAATTTCTACAGCAGTTTTCTGAACTGAAAAATAACATCAGCTAATACTTAAAATACCACTTTGTGTATAAGAACCATTTAAGTGCTTAACAAACTATTATTCCTACCTTAAAGATAAGAAAATAATGAGGCCCAGAAACCTTAGCCAACTTATATCCAAGAACACAAAGCTAGCGAACATCAAAACTAGAATTCAGAGCCAAGCAGTCTGGCCCCAGACTCTGGGCCCTAACCATTCACTTGTCCTGCCTTACAAGACCACAGAAAGGGCGAATGTGGAAACTGAGCAAATCAGTCTCATAAAGTCCCAGCTTGTCACCTTCAGTCATGGTCTTGGTAACCTACCAGGAACCTTACACTGACCCTGACAAAACCAGATGTATTCATGGCCAACTTTAATTCCACATATCCTCAAAGCATTCTTTATTCACATGAAGCTCACAGTATGAATTCTCTCTGGTCAAAAAAATATAGTTCCCTTTTCCCCTTTTTAAACCCCATGATCAATAATAACTAAAAAAAATTGTCAGCACATTTAAAAAACCTTATCATGGGTTTGGGGTATAGCTCAGAGGCAGAGCACACGTCTTGAATGCACGAGGCCCCAGTGTTTGATCCAAGCACCACAAAAAAAACCAATATTTATACAACCAAATCAAAGTCAAACCAGTCTAGCCTATTCTTACACCATGACAGTGTGCTGTGTGCATCTCTAACATGTTGCCAACTCAACAATAAGTCCCACTAGCTCTGCCCACCCCCACCCCACATACCCTCAACAAGTGACAGCCCTCCATCTACACTGTCACCAGCATCCTACTCAAAGGCTCCATGATCCTATACTTGGTCAACTAACTGGTCTATCTACCCCAACTTTAACTCTGCCATTCATAGCCTCCACCCTACAGACAGGTATTTAAAAAGTGGAAATCCATCCTTTATAATTGGCATCCCACCCCATCCCACATGAATACCACACAAACTCTCCAGCGGTTCCTGTCACCTGTCGGACAAGAACCAAACTGCTTTAAGGTCCTTCCCGCCCCAGTTCATTCCTGCCCATCTCATTCTCTCTCTTCTGTCCCACCATGCTCCAGTGACACTGGGGTCCCTCTGCCCCTTGAACATGGAAGCTGAGCTCCCATCACAGGATTTTTGCAGTGGCTGCACTTACCTAGGATGCTTTTCCTACAGCTTGTCGGATGCATGTCTTCTAATCACATGGGTCCAACCATGATTCCTCCCTCTTAGGTAACCCCACTTTCCCCAGAACTCCCCAGCTCCTCCGGTCCACTTTACTTTTAGGTCTACCTTAAAGGTCCTGTCAGCCCCAGAAACTGTGTTACATTGTTTATTGTTATTCAGCAGCAGAAAGGAACTCCTTGAGAGCAAGGACTTGAAACTACCTTATGTGTACTGCTCTGCTCCATAGCCATTAGTGCTTGAAAAATGCCCAGGAAAGTCCTTCAATTCAGTGTTCATCTGTAATATTAGGTCTACCACATGGAGAGGTTCAAATTAAAAATGACATCATGTAAAATATTCACAAACTTTGATTTACTATACAAATGATATTTATCCTATTGTTTTTCATGTGACTCCTGAAGTCATCTTTATCTCAATCAGTCTTCGTTTACTCATGTATAATTGGAAATAATGGAAGTCTACTTCAGGATTGGGGATACAGCCAATTGGTAGAGCACTTGCTCAGCAAACACATGACCCTAGACTCAATCTCCAGTGCTGAAGGAAAAAAAACCCAGAAAAACTAAAACAAAATATCTACTGTATATATTTATGACTACACACACATTTAACACTGGAATCCAAGACCACTAATTCTACCGCACATCTGATGCCACTCCAGCAGCTTCCTTGGTGCTTTGTTTCACACAGCCCTCTATCAGTCTTCTGTACTTTAGAGCCAAGTCCTTTTTCTTATATCATTAACTTGCATGAAGGAGGCAGCCAATTGTTGAATAAATGAACAATTTTTCTAAATGATGAGTAAAAGATTGGATATTCCTATGTAGTGTTCGGGACATCCATCCTCGACTCCAGCCAGTGTCTCTCAAATGAAGCTAAAACTCCAGAA